CGTTGTTTAACTCGGTCCTTGAAGGTGAGGCACCTACAAATACGCTCGTGTTTCCTTTCCTCTTTCAGCTGCGCACCAGCAAACAAAGGGGTAAGACGTTTACCTTTTCTGTTTTGTTCCCCTCTGTGATCAATCGTGCTTAAATTTGGGTCTTTCTTTCATTCCACTGCAGGTTTCCCGTTTCTGAGTTCTGACCAGCCGTGGAAGAGTTTCTCTTTCCTCTTGCATGCAATTGGATTCAAGCTCTGTACGGTTGATTTCTGAAGGTAACCAGTTGATTTCTGAAGTTTTCTTTTTTTTTCTTGTTCTCCTACCCTGTACGGTTGCATGTGAGATTAGGAATGATAGTTGTTATGTTTCCTCTCTCCCTGTTTCGGTTTCCAAGTATGCCTCAAGAACAAGAAGTTAACTTATTGTCTCTTATTTCATTACTTCTACTCATTTAGACCGATTTGGACATAACTCTCACAAATTCAAAGAAGTGTTCTTGAAATTGAAATTCTCACTGTTGACTAAAGGGTGTATTAATCTAAGTCAGAACATTAATGTGGCTTAGGAACTATGAAAATTCTAAATATCTTCTTAATGTGAAGATCGAATTATAGTGAGCATGAAAATAGTTTTTCTTTAGACTTTAGTTGTCCTGTGATCTGATTACTTGGACGAGGAATATGTGAGATAAATAAGCAATGTTAGACCCCTGTTGATGGCATAAACCGAGCTTGTCAATGTAGTCTACATTGAGCAGCTTGGTCACGATTAGGTGATCAATGAAGTGAAATTAAAGCAGAAAACTTTTGGTCTTGAAAGCATAAGAAACTGATTAGAGTATAGAAGTGGAAGAATGGGAATTTCTTACAAACATGTCAGTAGTTCTTAATTTTTTGGTCTTCACTGCAAGTTTCCATAATCCTGGTTCCATAAATTACTTGTTATAGTTGGCAGTAGTTCTTACAAATACAAACATGTCTTTTTTTTAGAGACTTGGCAATCTGCATTAGCACTTGGACATTTCCTATTGCATTGCCATCTATTTTTAAAGTTGCTATTGCTTACACTAGTCTTTGGAACTGCATTGGAATAGTTTGTGCATGAAACTTTTTAACTTTGTGATCCATATATAATATATGTAAATTCTGAATTTTGCTTTCTCATTTATATAATAGATATTCTAACTTCTCCTTTTTACATGTAGATGGACTTTGAATCACACAACAGCAGTGGAGAGAATATGATGGATCACGAGGTTGATGTTCAAGATGCAAATGTTGAGGGTGATAATACAGCTGGGTCAACAGGCACAAAGGTGCCAACAAAGAAACCGAGAAAGTTAGTATCCAAGGTTTGGCAACACTTCGAGCGCATTCCAATAAATAAGGATGGATGTAAAATTCAAGCCAAATGTAAGTATTGTGATCAATTATACATGGCTGATAGTAAATATGGCACTGGTAATTTAAAGCGACATTTGGATGGATGTGTGAGAAGAGATACTAGGGATGTTGGACAGATGATTCTTTCAACTCAAAATAGCTCCTTCAGTTTAGAGCCTAAATTTGACCATGAGAAATTTAGGGAGTTATTGATAGCTGCCATTATTATGCATGATTTGCCATTTCAATTTACTGAATGGCAAGGCATTAGAGTTCTTCTTCTATATTTGCGTGCGAATTTGAATATTATAACTAGAAACACAGTGAAGGCTGATTGTGTTAAGTTGCATAAAAGGGAGAAAGATAGATGCTTGAATATGTTAAAGGAGAATACCAATAGAGTTAGTTTAACATCTGATTTATGGACTTCTTTAAACACTGATGGATTTATATGTTTGACTGCACATTTTGTTGACAAGAGTTGGCATCTGCATAAAAGAGTTCTAAATTTTGGGTTTATGCCACCTCCACATACTGGAATCTCATTGGCTGAAAAAATTCACACCTTTTTGAAGGATTGGGGGTTAGATGGGAAATTTTTTTCAATTACATTGGATAATGCTTCTGCAAATGATGTTTGTGTTCAATTTTTGAGAGATCAACTGTTGATTGGAGGTGGACTTTTATGCAATGGTGAGTTTTTTCATGTGAGATGTTGTGCTCACATATTAAATTTGATAGTTCAAGAAGGATTGGAAGAGGTTGATGCATCTATTGTGAAAGTTAGGGAAAGTGTTAAGTATGTGAAGGGGTCACAAGCAAGGAAACAAAATTTTTTGCAGTGTGTTGCTCAAAGTTCTCTTGCATCTAGAAGAGGTTGTAGGCAAGATGTTCCAACAAGATGGAATTCTACTTTTCTCATGCTTGATAGTGCACTCTTCTATAAACGTGCCTTCATGCACCTTGAGTTAAGTGATTCCAACTACAAATATTGTCCATCTAGAGATGAATGGGATAGGATAGAAAAGATCAATGAGTTCTTGCATGTATTTTATGATATTACTTGCGTCTTCTCTAAAACCAAGCATCCAACTGCAAATCTTTACTTTCCTTATGTTTTTACTGCACATCTGACATTACAAAAAGGATTGAAAAGTGATGATGCTTATATTGTGAATATGGCTGAAAAGATATTCACTAAATTTGACAAATATTGGTCTGAATTTAGTATGATTTTAGCCATAGCTGTCATTTTGGATCCTAGATATAAGATGAGTTTTGTTGAATGGTGCTACAATAAGTTGTATGGTGATGATGGGGTGAACGAATCCACAAAGGTGAAAGACAAATTGGTTTCCTTGTTTAATGAGTATGCAAATGATGGAATCAGAAACTATTCATCTATTTCTTCAACAAGGAGGGCTACAGATGGTGGGAGTGAGACAATTGATGAAACCTCAATTTCTACTACATCTAGAGATGTTTTGAGTGTAAGTTAACATAATTATTTGTCTTGTAATTGTTTATATTCTTTTGTATATTTATTGATATTATTTATTTTATAATATTGTTAGGAATTTGATACTTTTCATGAAGTGGTTGTGCCACAAAAGACTCAGCTTGAATTATATTTAGAGGATCCAAGGATTGACAGAAGAAATATTAGCTTGGATGTGTTATCATATTGGAAGGCTAATCAATTTAGGTATCCAGAAGTTGCTGCAATGGCAAGAGATATTTTTGGGATACCTATTTCTAGTGTTGCTTCGGAAAGTGCTTTTAGTGTTAGAGGAAGAGTACTTGATCAATACCGAAGTTCACTCAAACCTGACATAGTTGAAGCATTGATTTGCACTAGAGATTGGTTATATGGAGAGCAAGGTAATATACATTATCAATCACTTATTCATTAACTGTTTATTTTAAGGATTTTAATTAACTCATTTGATTTTTATTTTTATAGAGCAATCAGCAATAGCTTTGGAAGAATTGACAGAAGATATCATGGACATGAATCTACATTCAATAGCTGATCATGGCGCTCAAAATTATTCAGTTGCTTAATGACTTTTATATTTCAAATTTTTCATCAGTTAAATGATCTTGAATTTGTGATCTTAATTTGTATTTCGGTGGAAGAAGTTGCTGTAAGAATGAGACATTTGTTGTAGGTTGCATTTAATTATGTTTTGATGTTGGATTGATGGAGTTCAATGTAGTAAGTTATTTTGATTTGAATTAGATTGAACAGTTTTAATATGATTTGAATTAATATCACTTTCTGTTTACTCGTGTCGGGTCGAGGGAAGATGTTGGATGTGTTTCCTGACTACAGGAAAGAAGCTGAGGATCATCTATCAAAAGCTGTAAGCAAGACTGAATTGTTAGTTTCTGTGATTTAATGCGTATTTATACTGATATTTAAGCGAATGATTTATAATTGAATCTTCTGTGCCCCAGGTTAAGTTAAACCCATCTCTTGCAGATGCTTGGCTATGTTTAGGTAACTGCATTTGGAAGAAAGGAGATTTATCTGCTGCAAAGAACTGCCTTAGCCTTGCCTTAAACAAGGTTAGCATTGATCATAGATTTCCATGACTTACATTACGTGACTGATGAAGTATGCACAGGATTGTTTTTATGGCTTGGTTTTCACGTGGCTGATCATAAGTTAAACCCATCTCTTGCAGATGCTTGGTTTTCATGGATCTTTTTAATTACATTAATTCTAGCACAGGATTGTTTTTATGGCTTCTCCTTCAAGCTGTCTCTTTGATAAGTATGCAGAGGGCTTGATTTGCATTGTTGTATTAACAATCTTGCTTTCTTTTCTCATCTTTGTTTTTGTCTCCTTGTTCACAAGGATGTTATGTATTACATACTCATCCCTATCTATTTATTTCTTCTAATTTGAATAAAATTTATTGCTTCTAAGAAATTTAAATAATAAAATTCAATATTTCCTTCCCTTTCTTGAGAAAATGGGAAATAAAAAGTGAGGGAAACATCTCTTTTTCCATTACCAAATAGGTAGCAAAAAAATCACTGTTGAATATGAATATTGCTATTTTTCAAGGAATATATTCCATCTCCACTTTGCCTGTAAGGTCAGTGTAAAGAATAGCCTTTTATTTCATTACTCGTGTCGGGTCGGGTCGTGTCGTGTCAGGTCGTGTCATGTAAAATACAGATTGCCCTCAAATTCGGGTTATATCGTGTCAACCCGTTTATACATGGGTCGTGTACGGGTTGAATTTTATAACACGATTTGTTAATCGTGTCGTGTTCGGGTTGAGGCTATTCGTGTTCGTGTCAGACACAGGTTGACCCGAACCCGACCCATGAACACGAATTGCCACCCCTACAGATCAGACAGACCGAATTGACCCAAGTCTCAATGACCCGATGGATTCTTTAGTTCGAGCGGCCCTTCGAACCGGTTAGGCAATTAATTCGGTCAGGCAAACCGGTTTGGACCGATCAAATTGTTTTTTTATTTTAAATGAGAGTTATAAAATAAACGACGTGTCACCCAAAAAAAAAACCTAAAATCACTCTCATATCTCATCTCATTGTCCTTCGCCGTTCGATTGTTGCAACAGCGTCGTTCTTCACTGGGCTGTGAGATTGGCGTCGTTCACTGGGGCTGCAACAGCTTCGTTTGCGGGTCTCTATATCTTCCACAGGGTTGCGGAGGAACCCTTTCCTCAACAGGTACTTAGAATGCTTTTCTTGGCATCATGTTTCTTTAGAGGTGATTTCTAAAGAATTGTAAACCCTAATAAGAGTTGGATTGCAACCCCTAGCCTTCACTTTGTACTATCGGCAACTTTGAACCATAGCATCATGGGATCCAAAATGGAGAATGCGAAGAACCACAACAAGAACAAGAGGAAGAAGAACGATAAAGATAATTTGAATTCAAGTCCTTCAGCAGCCAGTGATGACAAGGTTATCAGTGACCCTCGATTTTCGAGGGTGCACACGGACCCTCGGTTCCGCGAGGCTCCAAAGCGCGAAATGAAGGTGGCCATTGACTCTCGCTTTGACCACATGTTCACTCACAAGAGCTTCTTGTCCTCTTCTGCTCCCGTCGACAAGAGAGGTAAGCCCAAGATTAACCCAACCTCGCAACTCGGTTCTCTGCGCCATTACTATAAAATCGACGAAAAGCAAGTAGAGCAGAGCAGTGATGAGGAAGAAGAAGAAGAAGAAGAGAAGGAGGAGGGATTGGTGAAATCCAATCGTGTGAAATTGGAGATTGACGAAGAAACCGAGTCAGAAGAGAGCAGTGAATCTAAATCTTCTCTGGATACAGATACAGATACAGATACAGATACAGATACAGATACAGATACAGATGAGGATGTATCTGAGCTGGAAGCACCTGAAATGCAGGTATTCTTTTGTGGTTTATCTGGAGTTTTCTTATTGTAAAAGAGTGAATTTTGAATTTGAGTGATGCTATTTTCAACATGAATTGGTCTTTTATTGGATTATTATTATTATTGTTGTGTGGACAGGAAGAGGTACCGGAGATTGAGAAAGAAACACACAGGCTTGCTGTTGTTAACATGGACTGGAGGTATGTTAAGGTGCGTGTTTCAAGACTAATGTGCAGTTGATGTGATAAGTTTTTTTAATATGAGAAATATTTAATTTGAGTGCTTGGAACGAGATCTTGTTTTGTTAAAATGTTGTTTGTGTGTGGTGTTTTTGTGTTTTTTTGTTGTAGGCTGTTGACTTGTATGTATTATTAAGTTCATTTGTCCCCCCTAATGGACTGATCAAGTCGGTAGCTGTCTATCCGTCTGAGTTTGGCCTTCAACGTATGAAAGAGGAGGAAGTTCATGGGCCTGTTGGTCTGTTTGATGATGAAAATGTAAAAGACGATGAAGATACCAGTGATGATGATCTTGACAACGAGAAGCTGCGTGCATATGAAAAGAGCAGGATGCGGTAAATAACTATCAAAGTCAACTGTCCTTGATATATCGGCTTGAATGACATATAGATAAAGCTGTCAAAAACTAAAAGAGAACAGAAAGAAGAATAAACTTGTTAAAAAGAGAGGATCATTTCACCTTGATTAATGATAACTTTGAATAGTAATTTTATCAGTTTTATAGTGCTTTTCATTATTTAATATTGAATTGTTGTTGTTTTTTCTTTTAAGCCCTTATTACATCAAGGGATAATATTCCAGGAATATGTTACAAGCTGATATTGTTAATCCGAAGAGTAATGTTCAGAAGTGATGAATTGAACACAAAAAGACCATTCTTCTTTATTTTTTGTTTTCTCCTACCTTTGTGTGATATACTGATACAGCATGGTATCAGTATCAGTATGAAGCAAACATTGTTATTCTCTCTTGTATGCCATAACCCATGTGCTACATGTCATTCATATTATTATGCCTTTTCATTTGCAGCATGGGTTTGATAAACTGTTCTGCTGATATATACATGTACCCATAACGTATAACTAAGAAAACTTCAGTAACCTTTTCAGCATTCCGAGTCCAATATTTTAATTAATATGTTTGTCATGTGATATATGATTCTCTCTCATTTATCATTCTATATCTTGATTCTTTCTCTGGCTCCCCAGGTACTACTATGCTGTGGTGGAATGTGACTCAATTACCACAGCATATTACATTTACAAAGAATGTGATGGTCTTGAGTTTAAACAGTCATCTAATGCACTTGATTTAAGGTTTATTCCGGACAACATGGAATTCAAACACTCGGCTCGTGATGTTGCTACAGAGGTATTTAACATTTGATTGTATTAGCCCTCATTAGTTTTGCTGTATTTAAGCAGTATAACAAGAATTGGCACATATTGACTCCTTTCTCTGCTTAGGCACCTGTGAACTATGAGTGTAAAGATTTCTACTCACAAGCACTTCAGCACAGTAACGTTAATCTTACTTGGGATGAGGACGAACCTCTTCGTGCAAAGACCTTGAAACAGAAATTTAATGATGAGCAGGTCAGCTTGCTTTGTCCTAACCTCTTTAAATGTTGTGCATAATTTTATTTTTTCCTTTCAAAAAAGTCATGCAAAGTGTTGGTTTGGGACTCTTGAGTATTCACATCTTCTACTGCTATTTAGTTATACTATTATTTAAAGATGCATGTCATACATATTGCAAAAGAGATATACACAAGCTATTGATTTATGCCTGTAAATATATCCATGTCATGCACATACATATATGCTCACGAACTTCATCTTTACATATTAATTTGCATGCTTTTGTGCCACAATAACTTGCAGTATCTATGTATCCTGTTCTGTACATGTGTCTGTTTTGTTATGTATCTGCATATCAGAAGAAGAAATTGAGATGCATGAATGTTCTATTATAGTAGTATATAGTGATTTTATTTATTTATTCATTGCAATTTGCTGCATGCTGAATGGGACTTTTTCTTCTTTTCCCTTTCTCCCTCTTTAATAGCTAGCACAGTTAGAATTGAAGGAATTCTTGACTTCCGATGAGAGTGAAAGTGATGATGATGAGGATAACAATGAGACAGGCGATCAGCCTGATAGGAAAGCTAAAAAACGAGACAAGTATCGTGCTTTGCTCCAATCTGGCAATGGTTCAGATGAAGATGGCAAACATGATGATGTCCAGGATATGGAGGTGACCTTTAATACAGGTTTAGAGGATATAAGCAAACATATTATGGAAAAGAAGGATAAAAAATCAGAAACAGTTTGGGAAGCATATTTGAGGAAAAGACTAGAGAAAAAGAAGGCCAGGAAACATAAATCAAAGTATTCATCAGATGATGATGATAGCGATGATACTGTTCAAGAAGCAACTGAAGAAGCAGATGAATTCTTCATTGAGGAGCCTACTGTTAAGAAGAGGAAGAAGGCACAAAGTAAAAATGATGAAGAGCATAAGCTCCAAGCTATGGATGGGGCAGAGAAAGCGAGCAAAGAAGAGCTTGAATTATTGCTTGCTGATGACCAGGGGACAGATACTGGTCACAAGGGATATAATCTAAAATTCAAAAAAGGCAAAGGAAAAAAGAGGGAGAATGCTATTGATGAGGGGAAAATACCAAGCAGTGCATATGATGATCCACGTTTTGCAGCTCTTTTGTCACCTGACTATGGAATTGATCCCACCGACCCACAATTTAAAAGGTATTTTCTGTGATACAGTGCTTTTGTGTTCTAAGCAGTTTATTGTTGATAGCAGAGAAGCAGTGATACAAGGGCCATGTTTGAGATTTTAATCATGACTATGGGGGGAAACATGGGATATTATTGCCCAATATTGAAAATATATTTCTTGGCATGATAAATCATAAATCTCTTTCAACTGTTAAAGTTACATGCAGTTGGCAATCAGATTTTTATTAACTAAATAGGAAGTTGAAAGTTACCATGTTTTTATGGCTGACATTTGTTCTTAATTGGTTGTCCAGGTAATATTTACATGTTTAACATATCATTGCCAAGTTGGATAGTCTTGATCTCCATAATTGAACTTTCTTTGGTTCAAGAAGCCTGTATATGTTGTTTTTCATGTAGCAAACAATCTTTAATATATTATTTTCAAAATATAATTGTGGTTGTTTGCAGGAGTGCTGCATATGCCAGGCAGCTAGCACAGAAGCAGCAGAAGGGTCATTTGGAATTATCAGCGCAAAGGGAGCAATCGAAGCTTCCAAAAGGAATGCAGTTGTCCTCTGATGATTCTGGCATGATGAAGAAGGGTGAGGAAGAAGGATTAGATGTTTTGAAATCAAAGAAAGATCAATATGAATTATCATCTTTGGTTAAATCGATTAAGATGAAATCAAAGCAAGTTCTGTTACCCTCTGATGGTAAGACAAGGAAAGATGGAAAGTTGCAATTTAAAGGTAAGGGGAAAAAGAAAGAGTAGTTCTCAGCCTTATGGTTCAATCCACACTCGAATGCAAGATGGAAAGACGCAATTTTGAGGTATGGGGGAAAGAAAGAGTAGTGCTCAACCTTAAAAAGGAAAGTTAGTGGAAATATAAAAAAGAAAAAAAAATGGGAGAGAAAAGGTTGGGATTGAATGAATAGAGGTTCGGGTGGTTTTGTCTTTTTTCAAGAACGTTTTGAGGTCCATTGTTACCTTATTATCTATTGGAATCCATATAATACAGAATGCTGATTCATTTCTTGTTGCAAACTCCGTGCAAGTTTACTTTGGACGATTGAAATCTTAATACGGTTTAAGTTAATGATAGTCTTTAAACCTGCATCTAATTTTTGGTTGCACCATGGGCATCATTCGATCAACAGAATTCCATTGAATATATATAAATATGAGGGGTGTGATAAAATTCAATTTCTATTTTTTATAACTAAAACTTCTTTAGAAAAAGATATTTTCAATTCAAATAAAAGATGTAGTTGAACATCTATTTATAAAAAAAAAAATTATTTTCCCATAAAAAAGGAGTTGGACTCGAGTGTTATTCTTTGATCCCAAGAAATATGGATACGTTCATAAGAATGAAATAATTTCTATTTATGAAATATAAATTAACCTCAAGTTTTAAACTTATTTATTAAATCACATAATTGATCATATTTGTAGTAATTTTGGATTTTGCTAAATAACTATTTAAAGCAAATAAATTTTTTTCCAAAAAAGATTTTGTCAATTTTTTTTGATTAATTTATTTTAATTTAACATAACCTCTACCTGCCCAGCTCGTATGCGTTAACTTACTATCATTTGGTCGAGGCCAAATTTAATTCGTTAGAGAAAAAATAATAATTAATGATAAATGGGTCAATTTTGAATTTTAGAGAGATCACAAGTCGATTTTTTTCTCCTAAGAGATTAAATTGGACTCCATGATTTTTGTTGAGGACTCAAAAGATACTTTACTCTTATTTGTTTAATAGGATATTTTTTAATGATAAATAGTTAGTTGGAATAAAAATTATTTTTCTAAAATTATTCTGTCAAAAAAAATTATTAATTTATTTTAATTTAAAATAAATTAATTCAATGATAGTTATTAGTTAACTTATGTGCATTTTTATTCTTAATCCTAATTCACTCACATGTAATTACTATAAATTAATTAGTCACAAAAGTAATTGAAGGCAAATGGAATTACTTTTCATCTTCACACTTCCTCATTTTAGATCATAAGAAGAATAAGTAACGTATGATAACTTTTTTCTTCCTTTTTCCAATTATGGATATAAATTAACCTCTATGTTTTTAATTTTTTTATTTATAACAATTTTTTATCATATTAATAGTATATTTGATACATTGTTTTTTATACATATATTTGATACATTGTTATTTGTAGTAAATAATTATTTTTTTAAAAAGTTTTTGTAAAAAAGTTTTAATCTATTATTTTAATTTAAAATAAATTAATTCAATGATAGTTATCTCTAAGTAGAGATGTATCTCAATCCTGAATCCTAATTCACTCACATATAAATCAATTAGTCGCAATAGTTATTTAAGGCAAGTGGAATTATTTTTCAACTTTTCACACTAATCATTTTAGATTATAAGAAGAGTAAAATAAATCTAATTTTACGATATTCGTTTTTTGGTTGGTTTTTCCAATTTTTAATATAACTCAACCTCTAAGTTTATTTATCTATAATAACATTTTATAACATTAATAGTATATTTGGTACATTGTCATTTGTAGTAAATAATTATTTTTCTAATAATATTTAAAAAAAATAATTATCAATTTATTTTAATAGGAAATAAATTAATTTAATGATAGTTATCTGTAAGTATAGGTGTATATCTATCCTTAATCATAATTCTCTCACATGTAAATCAGTTAGTCACACTAGTTATTGAATGCATGTGAAATTATTTTTCAACTGTCCACACTTATCATGATCATAAGAAGAGTAAAATAAATAAGTAATTTTAGGATACTTTTTTAGTTTGTTTTTCCAATTTTTAAATATAGCTTAATCTCTAAGTGTTACATTTTATTTATGTTAACAGTATATTTGATACATTAATGTTAGGGAGCGAGTCATTGGTACATTAATGTTACTTGTAGTAAATAATAACTTTCTAAAAATAATTGGTAATTTTTTTTGTCAATTTATTTTAATTTGAAATAATTAATTCAATGATTGTTATCTCTATGTAGAGATACATTTTAACCTTAATCCTACTTCGCTCACATGGAAATCATTTAGTTACAATAATTATTGAAGGCAAGTGAAATCTTTTTCAACTTTTGACACTTATCATTTGAGATCATAAGAAAAGTAAATAAATAAAGAATTTTGTGATACTTTTGTGTGTGTTGTTTTTCCAATTTTGAAATATAACTTATAAATTTTGAACTCTATTTATTTATAACAAAATTTTATCATATTAATAGTTTATTTAGTACATTGTCATTTGTAATAAATAATTATTTTACTAAAAAGGTTTTCTAAAAAGCTTTTATAAATTTATTTTAACTTTAAATAAATCAATTCAATGATAGCTATCTTTAGGTAGAGATGCATCTTATCTTTAATCGTAAATCACATGTAAATCAATCATTTATTCACAATAATAATTGAAGGCAAGTGAATTCATTTTTCAACTTTTCACACTTAGGTTTCACATAATAAGAAGAGTAAAATCCATAAATAATTGTTATAAAAAAAAAAAAAAAATCCATAAATAATTTTATGATATTTTTTTTGTTTGCTTTTCCAATTTTGAAATATAACTTAACCTCTGTGCAGTTCCAGAACCAAATTTTTTTATTTATGTCTATACATTTAGTGGCGTAGATTCGGGGCAGCGTGCTCGAATTTTATTTTTAAAGAAAGTGAATGCATGGTAAAAGGGATAGGCACTTTCTATACTAATTAAGAAGAGAGTCTTTTATTTATTTATGTACTCACCACATCAAAAACTGCCATAAGATCCGCAAGCATGTTTATTTTCCTTTATAGTAAGCAAGAATCAAGTTGTCTATGGTTCTGTCCAAAATTCTCAAGACAAGAAAAATTTGGGTTGTGTGTTTACATTTCTAAATACCACTTTCTTGGAAAGCATAACATAAAATGGTGGATAATGAAACTTGAATATAATAAATGACATAAAATTTGGTGATTTACCTCACATTCAACCCAACCAGTGTAAGTACTAGTAACGATCGTAGGAAATAGAATAACAACAGACATGTTTCCCTTCAAAGTTCCTACAAGCATTTCTCCCATTGCTTTGGTGCCTCATGGTCTTTTTAAAAAATTTGATGACCCATGAGGACATTGTTTTCAGCACACCTGTGAAATTTTTTTTTCCCTCAAAAAATTTATGTCTGCACTTGCAGACAATTGCCCCACTGTGGGTCCATCAATGCGTCTGTGGTAAAAATAATTTATTTATAATAAATTTTTATCATATTAATATTTCATTTGGTACATTTTTATTTGTAGTAAATAATCATTTTTCTAAAAAGGTTTTGAATTTTTTTTATCAATTTATTTTAATTTGAAATAAATTAATCCAACCATAGTTATCTTCAAGTAGAGATCATCTCTATCCTTAATCCTAATTCACACACACAATTAAATCAATTAGTCACAGTAGTTATTGAAAGCAAGTGAGATCGTTTTTCAACTTTTCACGCTTATATCATTTTAATTTATAACAAATTTTTATCATGTTAATGGTATATTTGGTACATTGTTATCTGTAGTAAATATTTGATTTTTTTAAAAAAGTTTTTTTTTTTAAATTTTTTATTAGTTTATTTAAATTTTAAATAAATTAATTCAATAATAGTTATCTATATGTAGAGATGCATCTCCATTAGGGGAGTAAATGAAGCGAGCGTCTTATCAATGGCGGCTTGACTTGCTTTATGTTTGGTTTGACCTAACTTATTTAATAAATAGAACGGGTTTAAGCTTTAAAAAAAGCTTGTTTAGCAAACAAGTCCAAGCCTAATTTAACGAGGCTTGGCTTAAAAGCCCGTGAGCTAACCTGATTTATTATTATAATTAATAATATATTTTTACGTCACAAAATCATTAACCCTGTTTTATATATCAAATTGCTCATATGAAGGTGCTGATGGACTTTGGGGTAAGTGTTAAGTTTTCTTGGAGTAGCACGAGGTCTGATAGTAGTGATAATAGGTATTTTTTTTCTTTGGTTAGGTGTTATTAGTGAATATTAATTGTTAACATCTTTGTTCCAATTTGAGAATGGGAATGATGGTGACACGAGATGAGATTTAATTGTTTGTCGAGTTTGTTTGGTTATTTTAATAAAAGTCATAGTATCTGTTTTTTTTTTAATATTACAAAGTGTCATTACTGAAAAATCTTAAAGGTTAGTCTATATTACATACTATTCTTAAAATATTCTTCCCTCATATTCTCTATTTCATGAGCTGGATCAATGTTTAAGAAGAAATTGTGAAACTAATTATTCAATCTTAAAATATATATTGACTGAGTGGGTTATATGATTGTTTTTTCTCTGACGAAGGAATACAGAATTTGATGCATTTATAGTCTCAACACTTGGACATATGTGAGTTTGGAAAAAAATACATTTTATAATTATAAATGAGTCAAGTCAAGCCTTTAATTTTTTTATAAACAAGCCAAGCCTAGAATTTAGCTCGTACCAAGCTAATGAGCCAAGTTAAGCTCAAAATATTTGTTCAAAAATTTGAATTTAAGGTCCTCCTATGTGGAGATGCTTTGTCGAGGTTGAGACTTCAACCACGTGTTAGCTCTATCTTTCGGAAAGAAGGAGAATAAATGGACTTAAAGAATTATGTAGAAAATGTCTGAATCAATCTTCTCTTTAGCCTTTTTGGCTTTAGACGATGGGAAGTAGTTGTTCAAATATTTGAATTTAAGGTCCTGCCATGTGGAGATGCTTCATCGAGGTTGAAACTTCAACCACGTCTTAACTCTACCTTTCAAAAAGAAGGGGAACAAATGGATCTTAATGGAGTCTTCAATGGCTCCTTCTATCCTTACGCCATTGCGGAAATTCAGAAATTGATCTATTAGATCATGAGGATCCTCCGTATGTTCACCCCCAAAAAGTTTTTCATTTTCAATGTTGAGCAATTCTTCCTCCAAATCTAGTGGAATTTCGAACTGATCAACCATGATGTTGACAGTATCACTTAAAGAACCAAATCTTTTTGATTTTATAT